TTCCTCAACGACTGCTCAGTGTAGAAGGAATGTTGAGCCCTGCCAGCCTTCCCCAACGACTGCTCAGCAGTTGGCACCTTGACGCTGTAACGACCGAGGCAACGAGGCACAGTAGGCGGCCACGGAACAGATGTGTGCACCAATGGTTGTGGGGCTTGCAACGTTTCCATGGAGCAAAGTGGAGGCCAATGAGCTTGTAATTACTCAGCTTACTCTTTCGCTTAAAGAAGATTGAAAACGTTGTGTGTGCAACTGCTAAAATCTGCAAAACCTCTTGTCCTCAGTGTGCCTTAGCAATCCTGAGGTCAGCCTCGGGGTCCCCAACAGCAGCCAGGCTTAGCTCTGTGGCCCCTGTCTTCTGGCTTATTGCGCGTGTCAAGGTGCGAGAGGTTGGCTATAAATACAAATTAAGGGTGTTCTAAATGTTCAGTTTTGTGAGGGCTTCCCTTCTCTAGAACCTGGTCTGATTGCACGTGCTGGGCAGAATACCCACGTGCAGTGGGGCAAGGGCACGGAATACCTGGCTTAAAGGATGGCAGGAAACGCAGCTCAAGCCCTAATTATGGTATCAACAAGCTTTTATTAGTTATTCTGCACAAGTGGTGCTGCAGTGATGAAAGAACAGCAGCCTTAGATCCCAGCTTTCCTCCTGTGGCGACTGTAATTGCCCCTCGCTTCGCCAGACTCAGGGAGATAACTGTTGGAAAATAAAATGCTTGTAGTGCTTCCCTTGATGTGTGAGCTTAGCAGAAAGGTGTTTTTATCCGACTCTGTTAGATAACCTGTTGTTTCTATTTGATTTGCAGCGTATTTGTGGTACTTTTGCTGACCTGACTGCCTACGACGTGCTACCGCTGCTCCCCCCGTCACTTCAGCTGCTCCATCATCTGCTGAGTCCTCGAACAGAGATGTGAGGAAAAATGTTGTCATTTGGGGATTTTTATTTCCCTGGGGGTAATCTGACGGACACGGTACAGGTCCATTTCCTCGGAGACTCTCTTTGCAACCCAACAGCTAAAACACACCCATTGCCTGAACTGGTCCAAAAAATCGACGTGGAACAATCATGGCTCAAGACCCAGCTGCCTCCCACCAGCCCTCCGCTTAACTGGGGCTTGGGCCCCAGCAGTGTTCCCTCAATAGAAATTCTTAAACTCTTATTACAAAGGATCTGATTGATATATAAATTCAAAACACTCAGACCACGTGGTGTTCTCCTCAGGGTCAGCAGGGTGTTATGGGCTTAAGTTTTCAGTTTTGTGCTGCCTTTGCACTGTAGTTATACTCTAAATTAATGTTGCCTTAAACCTTTTAGAGATGCCTTTGGAAGACACAACCAGCGGAGTTGGTCCCCTCTGCCTTGTCTTTCCAAGAGGATCCAATGAAGAATGGAAAAACCGCAGCAACTGGTTTGTAACTGGCCGAAGGAAAAGGCAACCATCGTACACGTGTGTGTACAGCCAAAGCTGGCTGGGGTGGTGCTGGAGCCATTAGGGTCGTTTGCTGGATTCACTGACTGAGGGTCTGGGATGGGTGGGGGCTTGTGCATCACTGGGGTCAGCGGCTGCAAGAACAAGGTTATGGCTGGGACCTCACCAAAGTGCAGTGCCAGAGCGTGAACACAGCAGTGAAGCAGTTCTGGTTGCTCTCTGGGAATAGAGGAAGGAAGGAAGAAAGAATCTATTTAAAAGAAAGAAAGAAAGAAAAATCAAAAAAGTAAGAGTAATTAAACACCACCCACACAGTCCCCAGCTGTTGCCCCTTCGCCCCGCAACCGCATGAGAGGTTCCAGCCCGACGCCTGCGACAGTAGCAATGAAAACCACAGCTGCCCCCTCCCCTAGAGTCATTACCAGAGGAGCAATGCCCCCAGCCCGTCTGAACACCACATCTCCGGGTCCTCGTGGGAAGAGTAACTCACCGTTTCAGTGCTGCAGCTTCCGCCCATCAAACATGCCAGTGCGTCTTTACCCCCACAGCAACCTTTTGGGGAGTGTGGACCACTTACCTCCGGCTCCAGCCTCTCCCGTCACCAAATGCTCTGAGCACCACGCTTGCTGCCAGCCACGGGACCGGCCCACCTCCCAGCT